GAGAGAGAGAGAGAGAGAGAGAGAGAGAGAGAGAGAGAGAACAAGCAGCTGACGGCAAAAGCAATAATTGAAAATATAGTTCACTTTAGAGTACTTGATAGTGTCACTGCGGAACATGCCAAAGTGACCATTTCTATTGTCTTCCTATAAAAATGAACGAATACAAATGGCGAGTAACCCACTGAATATGGTGATGGTGACAAGTGATGAGGTTCCTGAAATAACAGTTGGCTCAAACTGCTAGATCTAGGGGTTACCGCCACATAGCAACCCTCCAAACAAAATTATGAACATTCAAACTTGTCCAGGTTAAAAGTGGCCGTCTTAGTGCCATTATAATGGGAGAAAATAAAAACAGAAAAGGATGTACAGAAATACGGGGTGGATGTTTGTACAGGAGATTGTCTTATACAGGATGCTGTTAGAGCAGGTTCCACTGTATAATTATGTTATATGTTATGACTTCCGTCCTGTTGACAGTCCAAGACTGCCCACCCATCAGCACATGTCTTGGTAACCAACAAATAGAAAATATGTAATCTGCTTTTAAAATTCGGAATATGGCCAGGAACAGTCTTCTTCCCTGAGGTGTCGAGGACAGGGGTTGTAGTCAAGTAGTGATGTACGTAAACAAAGACGTGATGAAGCAAGTTCTTGCTGGGCTCGTCATTGCTGGTCTAAAAAAGAAAAAAAGATGGGAGGGGGGATACCGCTTGCAAAAACAGAAGAAACTTTTGGAACTACAGAAAATGCACCACTCATAGTAGCTAGCTGATTAGATTTTCAAGCAATGATCCATTTTTGGCCTAGACTATAACCCAAAACACATAAGGGCAAGAATTTTTCTAACGTCTGGTAAACCAAATGTTTGCCTTACCCGTGGTTTTGGGTCTGATAACTAGTCTAATCTGAGGTTTTACTGAGGGCAAAGTGGTGTGCGCTTGAACACTGATGACTTCGTCCTATTCAGACTCCGCAATACTCACATTCTCAAAGTGAAAGTGACTGGTAAACCTGGCTCAAACTGATAATCATCGTCACGCTCTTCTGATAAATGCCTATGTCATTTCTTTGCTATTGGGAGAAAATGAGTAAAAAATTGTTTCTTTCCAACAATTGTCTCTGTGAGACAATTAAATTTGGTACACTCAATTTGGATCGTTCTTTTTTCTAAGTGAACTCTGCTAGCGAGCTCACTCTGATCTTCGTTTGGGGGCTCTCGTGGCCTTAAGGTTAAGGTGTTCGCGTCATCCTAAGGTCCAGGGTTCGAATCTGGGTAGCGACGGGAAAATTTTCTTCTCTAAATGTGTCTTCTGTCACCTTCCTTCCTGCTCTGTGGCAATATTATGTCGTCTGCTTTCGTCTCCACCTTCTGCCCCCACCACCTCACCTCCTTTGCCCCCTCCTCTGAGCTCCTGACTCTTTCTGCAGCCTTTCTGCTGCTACTCCTTGGCTCCTTCTTACTGCTGTCTTTCAACCATACTCCTGATCTTCTGATAGGAAGATCTACGCCTAGCCGTCTCGGACAAGGGCGAAAAAACTCGAAGGTCCAGTTGCAAGTTGTGCACGTTAAAGATCCCTTGGTGGTCTAAAATCGATAAGAGTAAGCTTCGACCGTCACCTGGGCAAAATTCAAAATTTCCCACCAATTTAAAACGTTTAAGTTTAATGTGTCCCTTGCGCTCATATGACTTTATGCAGTTGCGAGCGCTGTAAAACACTTGCAAAACGTGATCTTCATTTCAGAATTCTAAAATAAATCCAAACCGACCAAAAATGACCCAAGCCATTATCTTATGAACCTGACGTATTAATAAAAAAGGCAAATGAAGCTGAGAGTAAAACATCTTACCTGTGGGGATGTGAAAATAAGAGCTAAATAAGTCAGTAGATAAATATCACTAGATCTAACACTCTGACATACTCGTTTCCAGGACCGCTTTTTTGTGAACAGTGCGTCTCTACGCACGTCACAATTTCTGCCACCGTGTGCAAATTGTAATAGCCTACCGAGCACAGCAAGTTCAGGCCAGGTTGAATGAACAGTGAGCGCCCCGACCAATCAGAAAACAGGGTCAGCCTTCCAAATTTTAATGGCATTCCCACCATATTTCCAGGGCTGAACAGGAACCGGTTTCCAGTACCGAAACCCCCGGTACTAGCCTACCATAGGCGGCATCAGTGCCGGCATCAGGCCTCCAGTAAAAATATTGGGAAGTAGCGCTGTGCCCTTTCGACCTAACGAATAGGGAACTTGGTTTCAAAGAACCTTGTTTCAACGAAAAGAGATTCCCGGGTTGTTGTTGTTGTTGTTGTTGTTGTTGTTGTTTCTTTTGTTGCTATTTTTTTTTATCATTGATTAAAATCAACAAAATAACTCAAATTCAACGAACAGGTAAATGAGTGAGCTCGGATTCAGCGAAGTCGCAACGAGCCTTATTTACTCTATTCCGAGAGACCATCGATCCCACTTGCACCGTGGATTATTATTAGCCTTTTGTGTACATCTTTTGCGTCCGATCCGAAGTCTCCTTTGATACCAACACGAGCGTTGTTGACATGCCCGTTAGACTTGACGTGTCTTAGTGTGTGCTAGGGTTGAGAAAAATCGTTCGGGTGGCTGTTAGTGGGAGTGTCTGAGAGGACTTGTGGGGGCGGGGAGGGGGGAGTGGGGGGCGTAGGCACAAACAATTTGGCATGGGAAGTCGGCAGAGATATATATGTGTTTCGTAATTATAGCCACCCCTTTCCCACGATTACTAAACAATGAAAGGTTAGTCTGGACATAGTTGTAAATGTAAGTAAAGAATCGCGCACTGGTCTGTGGAAACAGACGTCGCCGTATGCCAAGCCCTACATTGTGACGCAACTTGTTGTCAAATTGTTATAACAAACACTTGGATTCAAGAAAATCGAAGGCCAGGCCTGACGACTTTGTTATATCCGAGTTTCACTGTATTGTATCATATTCATGATTTTTTAAAGCTGTCCACAGCTATTTGAAGCGTGGCAGAGCCCTTCGAATGCCGTGTGAAATGTAATTGTTTTCTTTTATTTGTATCTTATTCTCTAGTAACACCTCTAATCCCCGACACTTAATTGACCCAACGTTTTGCAAGCGCCATAAAACTCTTACATGTACTAAAATTAAAACAAATTTTTGCTTTGGTGGTTCTTGACAATTTTTATGTGCTTGTATGCACTGTCGGTTTTATTTTTCTTAACAATATTTCTTATATTTTGTGGGGTAGATGAAGTTTATTGCCTTCATAAGAATTTGTAACATTATTCCTATTTCAGAGACAAAGCATTGCTATAAGTTATGTAATAATTTATACATACATGTATCACAAAATATCAGGTATTTTGTTTTTACATTTGTAGAAGTGCAGATATCCAGTCTTTCCAAAAGTGAATATAGGAATGGATAGTGAGTTTCCCTTAGGGGTTCTGTTATTTTCAGTGCCAAAAAAATATTTTAATGCTTCAAAGAGTTAGCGAAAGCTTTCGAACCCGTGTTGCACAGAAACCCACTATTTATTCAGTGAATTGTAAATAATAAACATGTTGCTGTTTATTTGTCACTGTGCTGTTGACTGTTGTTTCGCCCTTGTTGAAATAATGTAGTCATGGTGCAGTTTGAAATATTTATTGTATTTCATTTGCTTGATCTGTAGTACCAAAATGGCAGCTTTGACATACCAAGTTCCAATTTTTATACTTAAGCTTTTTTATTAAATAGCTTTCTATTTTTCTGCTTTTTATCCTGCAGCATGTACATTTGCAAAGTCCCATTCCAATTCATTTTCCTCAGAGTTCAGGGTCAACAAATCTGTCGAATTGCTCATATATTCCTCATGGCTTCATCATTTTCAAGCTGCGGCCCTCGTTATTTTTTAAAAAAAGAAATGTAGAAAAATGCAACGGGCTACATTTTTTAGCAGTCGAATGTAATATCTTTTCAGTAGACTGAAATTGAATTTTTTATTCATAATCAGTACTGAGAATCAGCAATATCCTGCCTGTTCATGTGTCTTTCTGTCTTACATTTTACTAAGTTTCCTCGCTAATCATCACATTGAATCTTACTGGCTTTAACAAGTATTGCATCTAAAGTATTTAGTCGATGGTGGCGTAAATAGCTCATAAATTATTTTTTATTCTTTGGTATTTTTTTAAATGAAAGAAACATTTAAGGTATTGCTTTGTGTTGGGATAAATATTAATTTTTGGGTGCACCAGCAATTTCAGTATTTCCATTTGAAATACCTTCTACCATAGGTATTTTTCTTGTATGGAAACTTCCACAACTACTTTTATTTCATTAACCTATAGATGATCTGTGGTAGTATTGTTTTCATTTAAACCAGTATTTTTCTTCTTTTTTTTGTTGAAAAATGACTGTGGGTGGTTGGCGGGTGTTCTGGGTGGTTTGCTCCTTCTTTCCTATCAAAACTACCAAATATCTATCATCCAGATTTCTCCTCCTTCTTTCCCGTGTTTGTAACACCTATGTTCTTCAGCACTTGCATGACCTTATTGTGTTCAAACGCTGTAAAACGCATGCTAAAACTGAAAGATGCCCAAACTTAACAGTGCAATACTCAGCGTTTTACACTTTTTAACGCATTTTCAGTTCCTGAAGATTGAAACAAAAACTTGAAATTTCTGGTCTATGGCTGTAAAAATATGTTGCTGAAACTGAAAGTGAATATCATAATAAGCATTTTTGTGCCATTCTATGCCTCCACATTGCCACGTTATTTTACTCAATTAGAGTGTGCATTCTTTACTTCTCTATTCA